GATATGGAGGTGTTAAGATGGTTTGATGGAGTGCGCAGTAGACGTGGCTCGGGTTTACAGATTCACTAACGTTAAAGAAATCATATAACCAAACAACTGCGTCAACAGCTTGTAGAGCTGAATGACTTGTGTTCCAGGATATTCATGAGTTCTCTATGATTAAAAAAAGTCACTAAAAAGAAATAAGGGCCTTTTAATGCATACCATTTTTGTGCCCTGATTCTTCAGTGAATATTTTACTCTTTCAGTGCTTGTTTTACCCCCTATAACGCGTTTTGTTTGGCAACAAACTCAGACATTAAGCCCAATTATTCACAGAAAAGTGAATGACTACACCGTGACTCGTCTCATTTTGCCGTGCAGTGGAAACCTGGCGACTGTCAGTGTCACCTACAGTTACATAATATGACACTGTCCTCTCTGTGCCACAAAGGCTCTAAATGCTAATGATGCAGCTAATGTCTCCTGATCAGTAGTTATGGAGCCATTGACAAAGCAGCGTTAGGAGTGAGCCTAAGTGTCTGTGGCTTTAGAAAAGGGAGACCTCTATAAATCATTTGTCATGTAGACAGACACACAATATGGGCCCCCGCTGTGCTGCCTTCTTCTGTCTCTTTCTTTCACCTTGTCTCTCCCTCCCTATTGCTTATTCATGAGATTAAGACTGTCGGTGTAAGATCAAGTGTTTCTAAATGGCCCTCAACTGCACCCCCTGCTCATTTGTCCCACCTCCTAACATGCACACACACACACCTTTTGATACACCTATTACTCATGAATACAACTTTTCATTAAAATCAAAGTACCTTTCTTTTTGTTTTTTCTTTCTCTGTTAACTTTAGTTGAGACACAGCTTCATCTTTGCTAACGTATATATGATATTTGTCTTTCAATTTCCTCACTGATTTCTATTTTTCTTTTCCTTCTTTCTCTCTGAATGCATGCATATCTCCTCCGACTCTACTTTTTGGTGTGAGACTAGAAGAGAATGGCTCTAAATCTGAGGATAGCCCACCAGAGAAAAGTGTTGTTAAAGAAAGAATACTGGAGAAAATTGATCTCTCCAAAGGTATTTACATGCGATGACTTCATGTGAACTGTTTTGCTGTGTTTGCAATGATGTAAGTTGACTTAAAGGGTAACTTTGGACCCTATATTCCCATTTTTTGTGTCTAAGTGACTACTAGAAATGTCAGTTTTTGAAATTGGTCCAGTATTGAGTGAGACCGCTGCAGCCAGCAATGGCAAAACAGGCTGTAATGTAACGTTAATGGGCAATTGCGCACCGTTAGTGTTTGATTTTGCCACAAATTATTATTTTAAGTGTCTTACAACATGGGAAGGACCCGACAGAGGTAGACCTTTTCTTTTATAGAGTAAGATCCTTTTTGTTTAACCAGACACAGCCTAAAATTACTATTACCAAACCCACAAGACTCCATTTAAAAAAACAGTAATTTAATTATCATAAAACACACTTCATTCAAAGTCACTGAAACAAAATAAAATTCGGGAAAACTGCCTTGGTTCATTTTTTCACTGTTCCAACAATTACCCACTTTGGTTTGGTTTAAATAAACCCTTAATTTAACCAGTTAGATGTGTAAATATGCCAGCTCTGTACACGCTTAAATTACTGTTTATTTAAATGGAGTCTGGGGAGTTTGGCGATCACGATTTTTGGGGCTGATTCTGGCTAAACGAAAAGGATCTTACTCTGAAACAAAAAGGTCTCTTTCTGTGGGGATCTTTTCCATAGTGTTGTCATACTTTAAAATGATAATCTGGGCTTGTCAGTGGCAAACACAAAATCTTTAGTGGATATAAATCTATGGTGCACAAATGCCCCGAGTGGCTAGATTGCAGCCGGTTTCACTGCTGCTAACAGTCTCCATCGACCAATTTCAGAAATAGTTGCCTTCATAAGTCACGGAGACATAAGAGCATGGGAAAATAGGATCCAGGTTGAAAAATATTACAATGACCCTTTAACTGCTAGTAACTATGCTGATGCTATTTTGTATACAAACATTAATTCTAGTCAGTGTTGGCCGATGCAACCAGCTTCAGGTATTCAGCCAGCGACTTTACATGTAAAAGAACCCAGCTGCTAAAGGCTCTGCAGGAGACAAGGGTACAAATACACAGTTTAACCAGAAAACCAAGAACTCCAGTTGCTAAATAGATGTTAAATTGCACCACAACCACAACATGTTCTTAAGGGAACAATGAGGCTTTTCACTAATTACTCTGATAACCATCTGTGGCTGCTGCTGAAGCAGATCAATGGAGTCGCTGGAGAAGCTGAATGACTCAGTCACTTGGCCTCAGTCATTTGTTTGGGTCTACAGTAGCTGTTGCATATGCAGCAGCCACTTCACACACACTCACACAAGTGATTTGTATCAGTAAAGCCAAGTGTGAGAACATCTATTAGGTGTGTTTACCAAAGTTTTCTTCGTTTGTATGCTTTTGTGTTTTAAATGGTGCACGTTATTTTAGCTTTAGTGACGCTGACTAGAAGCAAACGCTGGTCGGGCACCCGGTGGGTGTAACAATAAATACGCACAAAAATAAAGTCATATCTTTCTCTTCTTTTAGGGAACTTTGTCAGCACCAAGTACAACCTGTCTGGTGGTTATATCCCTTCATTCCAAAAGAAAGAGGTGGGCTCAGTGGGACAGAGGATCCAGCTCGCTCCTTTGGCCGGCCAGCACACAAGTAAGATTTTATTCCATCTAAGTTAAGAGAACAAAGTGATTCCTGGTACTTTTAGGTCAGATAACCTCCCCATGTCCCCACTTATCTGGCTCAAAAGCTGCACTCCTCATCGAAGAATAAGTTTGGTATCTTTAATCCTGAACCCTGTTATCCCATGCTTTTTTTTAAAAAAAACGATTAATGGGAACAACAGCAGCTCTGTTTGTGTCGTCAAATTTACGTCCACTAAAAGCGCTTGTTTCAACCACTGACAGGTTCATCTTATCATTTTAAATGTCTGACAACATTATGGAAAGGATCCTTACAGAGATGGATCTTTTTGTTTAAGAGAAAGGTCCTTTTCTTTTTTGTTTTTTAAATAAACAGTAATGCTGGTGTGTATAGAGCCAGCATGTGTTTACATCTAACTGTGTGAAAAAGGTTTATTTAAACCAAACCAACGTTGGTGATTGTTGGAACAGTGAAAAGACAAACCAAGATGGTTTTTCTAAATTTTATTTTGTACACATACACTCTTCAAAATATACAGAAACAGTTGTGCAAATTTAAATAATAGCAGAGCCTGTATGATATATCAACACAGACATTTTTCCAAATATAAATATGTGCTTAAGTGGCTCATACAGATCCTTTCCGTAATGTTAGACAAATAGAGTAATAATCTGAGCCTATTTGTCACAAAAAGAAGCACTTTAAGTTAACGCAAATTGACGGTTTAAACACGCCCCAGATAGTTACTTTGCAGCCTGTTGTGCTGCTGCCGGCTGCTGTTTCAGTTTCACTTTCAAAGTTGCTGTTCCCATCAGTCACTGAGACACAAAAACATGGAAAATTAGGGTCCAGGTTGAAAAATACCACACTTACCCTTTAAGTAAATCCTGTTTATGTAGGTCTGTTCTGTGAGAATAACTGCTGTCTTGTATGGTCATCCCTTACTCGACCATTATGCCATGGCTGACTACTCTTACTTCTTTTCTTATTTTTCTTTTCTTCAATATTTCCATCCATACTCTCACTGGTACTATGTTTCTCCTCTCTCTCTTCACTCCTTCAGTCAGTCTTTCTTCTTCTCCTGATAATAAAAAAGAAAAATCGAAATCTGCAAAAGCCAAGACCGTGTCCAACTCATCTCTGAGTGAAACTAATGAAGGTATTGCTGTTTTCTAGTTGCTGCTATAAAGGTTTTTTACACTTACTTGAATTATTTTGTCATATTTTTAGAGCTGTTCCTCTGTATTGTTTCCCTGTCCTTTGCTTTTGCTTACAACATGTCTCTTTACTTTTGATGCTTCAAAAACATCATGTTTAACTGCTGTTAATGAAGACAGATACCTTATAGCTACTGTATTAACTGGATAGACAAACTGACTGACTAGCATGTTCCTCCAGATTATGAGGGCTGGAAGAGGAGGGCAGACAGGACTCAGATGAAGGGGAGCAGCTACTCCGCCCTGGGGAAAACCTCTGGGAATCTCCTGACCAGAGCGCCGGCTGTACAGCCTGTCCACGGCAGGGTGGACTGGACATCCAAATATGGTGGAAATCGGTAGTTCAGAAAGAATGTTGCGCAGCTTGTTGGACTGTGTTGCCTTGTGGTGCACATCTTTGGCTAAGGAAGGTAACTGCAAGCAGAGTTAAAATCACACTTGAACCTGGAGGAAATTCTGTAAGTTCCCTGAAACAGAAATTTCCAATATGGAGGTAGCTGGTAGCAGACAGAGTAGTCACAGATGTACATCCCACACTCTGAGGAGACATTTTTAATGCCACAGTGGCATGATTTTGTTTCCAGAGAGCCTTAGAGATGTAGGATCGAACTGTAAATGTGCACTAGTCTCTGTCTTTCGGAGATAACGGTTGCCATGATGCTGAATCAAGACTGATGTTGTCTGCAAGACAATCCCACTGAACTCCTGTGGGAAACAGTGTGAGCCAATACTACTGTTAGTGTTGGGGTATTCTCAATAGACTTTAAATGTAGCATCTAACTTTTCTTTTTTTACTAGTAGTTTTTATTGTCAAGTATTGTTTTACTACAGATGACAAAGCGGTCATTAATTAATGTTTCCTACAATGCTGTTTCCTCTGCTTTTACTCTCAGAAAAAAAACCTTCAGTGTAATGTCTACAGAAATGATTGCTAATTGTGGGTGCTGTAAGACAACTGCACACCTCTTTGTATTATGCATTGAATTCACTTAACATTTTGTAAACCTTTTTATACAAATAAATATGTCAAAGTTCTTAAAGCATTCATTCAAAAAAAGGACAAGACAACCATTCCTATATATAAACAAGGTATTATATTTCATCCTCAAATATACACTTCTTTTTTTGTTACAAAATGACATTAACAGTGAATGACAAGTGCTGACAGGCTGCTCCTTAAACAGAAGATTGGGTACACATTAGAATCTTCACTCCATCAGGTACTCTGGGGTTTCTGGAGCAACGCCAAACTGAGCTTCCCCACCATCAGGAGACTGAAACAAGAAAAAAAGGACATATCACATCCCTGACTTTGACTTTTAGCTTCAGAGCAGGAGTGATCAACAGTAAAGGTCTATTTAATGATCCCATTACAGACACATTTATCAAGAACATTTGCTTCCGTAGAAATAACCATCACACCCTCTTACTGTCATCCTTACCAGAAATCCTCATTAGCTTCACCTTGAATATGTTCATGCAGGTAAAGTCAGTGAAATGGTATTAGATGGATACCTTGCTCCAGCCATCAAGCCAGCTGGCATTAACTTCCTGGATGCGTAGAACCTCTTTCCCATGATGCCTGTCAGAGCTCCTGATGTAGCTGGAAGACACCACGTGGTGGAAAATGTCAGTGGAGGGTGGTTAATCAGGATGGATTACAACCATAGAGACACATGATTGTCCTTAAACAGAAACTCTTCACCTATCCCCGTGCAGCACATTCACATCATGTGCAGTATATTCTTACTATACTAACCGAGGGACACCCAAATGTTATTGGGGTCATTGGAGATCTGGTAGGCTCCCAAACCTGCCAGGCCACCGAAGAGAGCACCGGCTGCCAGGGAGGGGACGCTGCCTGAAAGACACAACACAAAGCAGGTCAACACTTGTACCTGACATCCATGAGAATGGAGAGCAGTGGTGTAGTGGATAGTATGTGGTATACGGGGTATATTCACCTCTTTCTGTGGCTGTTTATAGTATACCCACCTATCAGACAAAAAGGCACAGGAATATATTTGGCTACCCATGTACAGTGGCATGCAAAAGTTTGGGCACCCCTGTTCAAAACTTCATTTACTGCGAATAGTTAAGTAAGTAGAGGATGAGCTTCTTTGGGCTTCTGTTGCAACCAGTGGCACAGCGAACATTTCACAGGTAGAGGGAGGAATGGATAGAGATATATTCCAGCTAATTCGGGAAGCAAACATCACAGCATCTGTTAAAAAGCTGAAGATGAAGAGAGGAAGGCTTCTATAACTGGACAATGATCCTGAACAAACACCTCAAAATCGACAATGGACTACCTCAAGAGGAGCAAGCTGAAGGTTTTGCCATGGCCCTCACTGTCCCCTGACCTAAACATCATTAAAAATCTGTGGGAAGACCTCAAAAGAGCAGCGCATGCAAGATCAAGACCAACACTAACTTGGGCCCTACACCCATACTGCAGCCATAGAAACACAACATACAACATAGCACATAGACACCTCAATATTATATCCATGAAACACAGAAAGCTAAATAAATATATAAATAACAGCATATGCTAAAAAGACCTCTTAATCTCCTACCAGAGGGCAACAGCTCGTACTCTGTATGCAGAACACGAGGAGTCATTCATGATCTTATTGGACTGTTCAAAAATAGACTGCATGGAAATGTGCTCCTTGACACCTATTATTTCCCACACTGTATGGATCAGTCAAAACTACTAAGGCTGCCTGATAAAAAATCTTACATCTCAGACAATGTGAGAAATGCAACCACTGTTGTAATCTGCTACAGAGACTATCAACATGTGGGTTCCAGGTTAGGGAGTTGCCGATAAAGACACTGAAATATGTGTATCTCCAAAAAGAAGTCAGAGGGGTCGCAGTTCAAGACGGCCCAAGAATCTCACAGAGGTAGACGCCTTTTGCAATTAAGAAAATCCTCCAAACAAGAATTTAAACACTCATAGCTGGTTACAAAAATCATTTAGTAGCTGTAATACCTGCCAAAGGGGGCGCTACTAAGCACTGACCATGCAGGAGGCCCAAACTTTTGCTTCAGGCCCTTTTCCTTTTTTATTTTTAAAGTGTAAAAGATTGAAATTAAAAAGTAATCTTGCTTAAAATACTGAAGAAATGTGTCACCTTTAACTTGATGCCTTTTGGAAATCAGTCAATCTTCTACTTACTTAACTACTCACAGTGAATTAAATTGTGACCAGTGGTGCCCAAACTTTTGCCTGCCACTGTCCATAGCAGCACACTAACCTCATCAACTACTATTACACCACTGCTGAAGAGCATTCATTGACAGGTGTGTTATGGGAGAGACATATCCTAGTTTTAAAATGCAAAGAACTTCAGAGACGCAGTGATGTATAAAATAAAGTTAACAATTACGCAAATACCACATCAAACGTCATTATAATCTCAAAACTTTGGTGCTTTTTAAATATTTTAGACACCTGAAAAGTGTTTCCTTCCACCGGTCCCCACATTAAATACAGCACATACCTGCTTTCACATAACCAACGACTCCCCCGGATGCAATGAGGGCTGCGTACCCATATCCTACCCAGTCCACAGACATGTTGGACACCTGCAAGAGTCACAGCGTGTGAGTGGCACAACAACCTCAATGTGAACGGTAACTATTTAATTAAGACGACTTCGTGTTGCCAACCTAATATAACTTACATATGTTAATATATCTAAAGGACTGTCTGGGTGCTGCAGCACGGAGCTGTTAACGAAAACTAGCTGAGGCAACAGCAGATACAGAAGCATTGTAGTATTAGAGATATTGTTTCCCGCAGTGACACAGCAGCTGTTGTCAGTTTGTGATCAGGGCTCGTTACATTTTGGCTCCACTCAGGGTTATGTGTGTGTCTGGTGTGTGAGATAAGGCTAACTGCTGTACACAGCCTTAGCTCGGCACCAGGAACACAAGCTAGCATCTCTGTTGCTACAGCACACATACAGGGCTAACACCGAAGCTAACTGAGCATATACGTCATTGTTTGTTATAAGGTTAGAGATTTAAACATTTAAGAATGTCAAATATAAAACTGAAAACGCAGATGTAGCTACATACAACCTTGCTCTTCAGGTTTGCCCTCTGTTACAATCAACGGCAGCTTGTTTTCCACCGAGCACAAATGACTGGTGCACACAATAACTGGAGGGTGGCTGATGGGAAATGTAGGCTGGGAGGCAGGTGCTGCATTCAAAGGAGGCGGAATTTCTACTACTACTACTACTACTACTAATTATTATTATTATTATTATTATTATCATTATTATTATTATTAAAGTTGTGTTTTTTTTTCTGGCATAGATTGTTCATAGCCTATTTCCCCCAAAATTTAATAGCTTTTTTCCCCCCCAAACTTTTGATGTCGTTCACCAAAACATATGTAGTTGATGTAATTTAATATAAAAAATAAATAAATACAGAAATAAATAAAATAAAATGACATAAAATAAAACACAAAATGTAATAAAATAAAATAAAATAAAATAAAAAATGATAAAATAAAATAAAATATGATAAAATAGAATAAAATACAAATAAAATATGTGCACTATTCCCCAAATGTAAATAAGACAGCAGATTCTGTTCCTCATAAACATAACTTTCGCTGCACCACAGCTCCTGAAGAAGCCTGTTCTATGCCGTGCAAAATAAATCTCACACAAGTTCAGGTGTCTTTCTTGTTTATTATTTAGTTATTTATTCATCTATTTATTTAACCTTATTCCAGCAGTTGTAACAGCACTTCAGGTTTTTTTTTTTTTTTTTTACATTTTAGATTTTTACATTTAATAATTCATATTATTAATGATACATTTAATTACGTTTGCAATTTGAAACAATAATGTAAAGTATTGCAGTGTGTGTAGGACTGATGATGTATTAACATGTTTGACATAATCACTCTATTGTTGTAGCATATAATTTGACACTGCCACCTCCTAAGACTGATTAGGTGCCATTGAGCCCCATCTGTTTCTTCACTGGTGTGCATTAGACAACACACCATTATTCCAAAGATAATTTGCTTGAAGGAATCTATGAGGACTTTTGTTGTTTGATATGTCATCATTGTATGAGATTAAGAAACTTTCGGAAGACTTAGCCCCCTTTGTAAAGAGTCATCTTTATCATCTCATCTGCTAACTTCAGATTAATGACCTCACAGTGAAATCAAATTACCAGCACAAAGACCAGTGATGGTCCCAGACACCAGAGTGGGAAATGGCTTTATTTTTATGACCACAAGATGGCGCCACAGGATCAGATTAAATTGTATTTTAAGCCATACTCCAACATCCCAAAGCTTTAACTTGTTTTTTTCCCCCCCAAATATACTTTCTTTACATTCAAAGAAAGACGTCTGCACACAAGCAGGACAAAACACACACTATATCACCTTTCACTGCATCGGAATGTGTGTTTTCAGTACTGGAGCCCTGCTGGGTGATAACCGTGAAAATGGGCCGGTTTAGTTTTGGACGTCTGATTAAAAGTTCATGAAGAAGGACAGGTGGAAAAAGGTCACAGTGAGGGCTCAGCTGTGCTTAATGAATGTCGTGTATGTAAGTTTTTGGTCAAGTGATGAACAAACCTGACATTTGCCTGAATTTTGACCCGTGGTCATATTTTATATTTCACTCATTTACACATGTTCTTTCTGGCCACCTGTTTTTTGTTTTTTTTTTTTGGACTGGCATCGGTTTGGCAGTTTGACTTACTGGAATGCTCACCGCGCACACATTCTCATTTGGTTTCAATTACCTGCAATATTGTCTTAAATCCACAGGCGGCGCGTCCTCGCCCTTCTCCGGAAGCAAGGTGGCGCTAGAGCACAATTTATCTTGCCTGGGCAGCAGCGTTTCACACAAAGGGCCTGATACCTTCTCACTCAACAGACACCAATTTCATGAATCTCACGGAGCTACATGAGGTTTGAGTGCTGGTGACAGGATAGTTGCTGTCTTCAGCAGCCAGGCACGTCCAGCTGGAGCGTGTCTGCAGCCAGAATATTACAAATCAAGCTGGGCATCTTGTCTAAGATACATTTTCAACTTCTCCATAACTTTGGGGGGGGGGGGGGGGCAAGGCATTAGTCCCATCAGCGATCACGTTTTAAAACACAGCTAGGGGAGGACAGCTTCAAGTGAATGTTTCACAGCATTTTTTGTCAATGAGACACGCGTAAATTACGGCCGAAGATCTCGGAGAGCTTTTGGACAGCACCACACACACGCACAAGCATAAACACGCAACACAACCACTAATACCAAATCAATACAGCAAATAAAAATTAATAAATATCCCTACTAATAATAATAATTACAACAATGTCTTGTAATTTGTCTAAATATGAATGGCTGCACAAAGTGCCCGAGGTGCAGCCGTTGCCGACGCCTATTAAATACAGCTCGCAGTTTTAGGAAGCTGAACGTTGCCGGAGGCCCAGTGCGATGGTGGAAGTGGTTGAAACCAAGCCCTAGACAAACAGGCTGGATATTCAAAAGGGACCCCGCTCTTGTCTGAGAGTAACCCACTCTCAGACAGCTCTGCTTTAAAACTTACTCCTCCCTGAGTGCGCAGAGCCCCAAACAATATTTCTGATCCCCCCCCTCTCCACCACCACCACCACCTCCCTCTCTTTTGTCCAGTCCTGGTGAGGTCTATATAGCTGCAGGTATTGTGTGTGCAGTTAAAATGTGTTCGCCTTTGAAGTCAAACATGAAGGCTTGTTTTAAATATTAACGCCACAAAAAAATCTACAGATTCTTTGTGGAATTATGCAATTGCGAAAAACACACGAGTATAAAGGATTTATTGGAGAAAATGAAAAAAATGAAGTGTGTTTTTTCGTATAAAAGTTTGTCAAATATTCTTAGTGCATGCATTAAATATGTTTAAATACGGGTTTGATGTATTGAGGGAACCATCCATAATACAGTCAGCCAGCGACGTGCACCGCGTCCCTTTGCTGTCTGCATCAAAAACTTAAAAGAGGACAAAAATGTTTTTGTTTTTTTTTCTGACCATTATCACCTATGTGAGCGCACGTGTTGCTCTCCTCTGTGTGTGTGTTGGTGTGTGTGCGTGTGTAAGACAGAGAGAGGGGGAGCTCATTCGCTGTTGCCCCGAGGGGTCTACATAAGTATGTATTAGAAATAAACAGTGGATAAATAAATAATGACCCTCACAATAGCAGGGTAGCTCTCTGTGTAGAAGTAATGATGTTGGCAGTTAACCTTCAAGTTTTTTAACTTGACACAGTTTCATTTGCAGTGAGAATTCATGTTTTTTACCAACACAAAAAGGTAAAGAAGACAGAAAAAAGGAAAGATATCAAACAGATATTTAAAACATATTATCCATAAAATTATTATTATTATTTTTTTGCTTAAGTTTCTGGCAGATTCCCTATTAAGTCATTTTTATTTAAACATTTTCACCATAATTTAATAGGAGGGTAATACCACAGTGCACTTTACAGTTTTCTCACTTTTTTATAAATTATTTTCAGGTGAATACCTGATGCAAAGAAATCCTCACTTTTTAAAATATGGATTTTACATGGCAAAAGCTTAAGCTGACACTTTTCTGCAAATATAATTAATGTTTGTTTTTTTTTAATGAATAAAAATGGCTGTGATTGTACCTCAGAGTTTCCTCAAATATGTAACATCAACATTTTTTATTTGTTTTTATCGTTTATCTCATTTTTTGTCACTTAAATATGACAGCCCAGGCCTATCCAGCAGCACCCAGTCAAACACACTTTCTCACTCTTTCCCAGGTAGTTTCTCCTTTCTCGTCCACACCCGCTGCAGTGCGCATGCGTCACCAGGTGGCCCCGCACCGTTTTTATGGCCAGGTGAGGCGATCCGGTCCAGGTAAAAAAGCAAAAGGTTTACTCTGGGACCGGAGGCTCAATGAGATAGACACGGCACCGGATCGACCAAAAATCCACCAAAGGCAGCAGAAGACAAAGAATGTCAATTATGGGCAAAATGGGGGACTGGCAGGTATGTGCTGCTTACTTTAAGACAAATACACGGCTGTGAAAAATCCATGAAAACTGTCAAAGTGTCGACTTGTTGTAGGATGAGGCTGCACATGCACCGTAAAAATCTTTTGTTAAGAGAGTTGGTACAGTGTAGTTTATGGGTTTAACCCGTCAGGAGATCACACAAAGAGAGTCGAGATATTTTATTTTGGAAAGTCTGTTTTGCGGTGATGTAGCCTTACATGTCAAATTGTCCATCTCGAAAACCTGAGGCATGTTGTTGAAGCTTATGCGCGTTTCACACACACTGTTGTGTGTTTTAGCATATGTTAAAAATGTGTGGAAACAGACATGAGGTGTGGGTTTGTGAGAAGTGAAGTTTGGGCGAGACGCAGCCTTTATTCCGAAATGTGTCGGTGCGCCTTTGGAGTGAAATCCAACTTTCCATAAATGTAGTTGAGCATATATTCACTTTAAATTCAGATTACATGTTTTAAACTGACGAGTTAAAAGTTAATGGACTTTCTATAGAGTGTATCTTGTCTGAGCTTCACTGAAAACCTGGCCTTGTTTTGTGAGGTGTGGAGGATTTAAGAGAAGACCTGCTGAAACAGAACACTTCAGTTTCACTCGTTAAAAACACGATCACCACTACGACTATAGACAAGCAGGCCAGATCTCCAGAAAGACACTCGCATGCATAGCTGTCATTGTCAGCCAGTATCATCGCTCCATTCTCATGAATAACAACTGCTCGCTAAAATAAAGCACCTCGCCAAAAATGGTAATCCAGGTTTTAAAGGAGAGGGGCCAACGCCTTAAAGAACTGCCGACCTGTCTGCTGACCCACGAC